TGACTTGTTCCTCTGCTTTTAAAAAAAGAACGAATCATGTTTACTTCATGATGACAGTCTTCAGGGAAAAATATATTGCATTGGGATACAAATGAAAATAAATTTTTTAAATGATTTAAACTCTGTGTGGTAACATGAGACTAATTAGATTAAATTGTTTACTAACCCTGACTGTGCAAGTTCTCATGACTAAATAGGACCACTAAACTCTTAACTTTCATGCAATACGTGCAAGTGTGAAACCGGAATGTTTACATGGAATGTTTAGATGCTCTTCATCTGTTATAGTACAACCACCATGAACATGGGAGTTTTTTGTATGGCAGAGAAATATTCTTTTATAATAAGCATAAAGAACTTTTAAGCCTTGGCTCAAATACCTCCAAAGCCCTGTATTGTGCTTGTCTTACAAATTGAGAGACATATGTCTGGTCTTGTTCTCATGGTTCTTTACGTTTGGATCAGACTCATCTTCAGCCAGTCACTAGAGAACGGCGTGTTCTTGGCAGAAGAGCAAGTCACAATTGGCTTACTGAGAGTGACCCAAGACACAGACTGTGAAACTCCTCGCATCCCTCATTCTTTGAGATGGTCCTGACTGCAGAACACAAGATCCAGGGGGCGTGGATGGATCCAGATCGAACTGTTTCGAACATTCATAAAATATTGAGCACCAAATCAGCGTATTAGAATGATTAAGGATCATGTGACACTGAAGACTGGAGTATTGGCTGCTGATAATTCAGCTTTAGGAATACATTTTTAAATATTTTATTTTAAATTGTAAATGCATTAAGACTAATTTCAAAAACGTTAAATCTAATTGACCTTAAACTTTTGAATGGTAGTGTATATGTAATAATCTAAGTCTCATAAAGTTTAAGTTCATTTTGACTTTGCTTCAAAAATATAAGTAATAGTTTTGTGCATCTTATTTATAACTAATTAAATCTGATCAGGTGTTGTTTAATAACAACAGTAACTTTCACTTTAGACTTGGTCAAAAAATCCTTGGTAAACACAAAATAAGTATAATGATGTTGGCACACATGAATGTTCACCTTTCATTTAACCGCACTGAATGGACCCTAAAATACTCACTCACAGATTATTTCATGCTGATTTTCATTCACATGTTCGAGGGAGTGAGTTGTTTACTCCGTAATTAATTCACATCCACTTGACCATTTAAGCTGATTTTCAGACTGGTTAAGAATCCAATAGTAATTTTTCATAGTTGTTTGATGAAATATATATGTAAATGCATTGCACAAGTAAATGGAACTGATTTGCCTAAAACAGCAGAGTGATGTTCATATTACTTTGCAGGATCTCAGACCGTGGCGGTGGCATTCCTCACAGCATTTTGGATCAGGTGATGGATTACCACTTCAGCACAGCTGAACAGAGCGCCCAGGATCCCCGCATGAGCAACCTTTTCAACAACATTACCAACAGTGGCCCCCAGTCTGGACCCATGCATGGGTAAGAGGAGCTAGACCTATGTGAAAAAGAGCACAAGCTCAAATTAAAAGCTGCTTCAAATGTTTGGTGCTAAGGTTGGGTTTTTATGTGAATTATTGATGGACCGTTTGTGATCATGTCTCTTTTTTTCAGTTGTAACATGCTTTTCACCTCTTCAAGAGTAAATATTTATGTCTTGTCCACATGCAGCAGCTGACTTCTGTGCATTCTTGCAAGATCAGTATAGTAGCTAAAGTGGTCTGCACTACATGATCTAGATTTAACCAGTTCGGTCTGGATCTGTAAGTGTAAAGTGTTATGCCGGCACTCCTCACTATGAGCAGTCTCAAATCACAATTACAGAAGACCAGATGACAACTGGCATCTTTTTCTAATTAAAGAGGTCATATGATGTTGCTAAAAAGAACATTATTTGGTGTTTTTTTTTCTCTCTCTCCAGCAAACAGTGTTTATAGAGATGTTCATGTTTGAATGGACATTTTTTTTTAACTCTTCCCCCACCTGCACATGTGGTCTTTTGTTCATTTTCTAAAAGGATGCCAACTTGTTTGAGACCCTGAGAGATCATGAAATTTGTTTACCTGAATTAATTTGACATTTACCCCAAATGGCAAAAGTTCTTTTGAAATACCAATTGAACTGCTGGAGGAGTTCACAATACACATACACAGTACAAGTAATCCGTAACATTTTGTCTTGTGATGTTGTGCCTGTGGTTTCTTTTCTCTCCTTTTGAAACGGTTTTCAAGAAAAGGAGCCTTCGTGTGTTTTCTGCTCATTATCTGTTGTCGAGAGCTGCAGATTTGTTGCCCCAGTTTGCCCCCTACTGGTGGAATCTGAGTATTGAACATACGGACGTGCTGATGATTTAGTGTAATGAATGATGTTCAGTAGGTTTTGGATTATTTAGAAGGACTAACATGCACATGTTAAGATGTTCCTTTGTTTATATAAAAGGCCAAATTGTGGCATGACGCACCCAGAATGATGTCAAGGATAGGATAATTTTATTGTATTTTGTTTTCTTTTTTATGTTGAGTTTGCATTACATAGATGCCAAACACGCCGGGTTTTTTTGTGTGTGATGGGGGGGGGCATTATAAAATTCTGGATGAGAACATTTGTGTCTTTTTCTTGATTTCCTTTTCTCAGTTGTTTGTTGGTTTTAAATTAATGCACTGGCACTGTTCGTATTGTGACATTTTCTGGTTGTTGAATTTTGGTGGACTGTGCTTCAAGTTAAGCATCTATGTGAACAGGACGGAAACTGACTTCATTTACTTAAAAGCTTCAAGGTAGTTTGGAGAAAAGCTTTAGCATAATTTGCTTGCGGATGCCACTTTGTATTTGTGGTTTGTAATAATTTTTGAGCCACTGTAGCCTGTTTTTTTTAAATTATTTTAATAATTGAATCACGTTCCAAGCTCTAGATTCTGTGACCAGCAAAAGGAGGGGCTTAAGTTGGCCCACGTATTGAACTGGCCAATCAGAGGACGCTTTCTGCCTGTCACTCATTTTGCGCTATGGGTGTCGGGTTGGTTCACATGTTTTTGGGGAAAATCCCGCCTTTATCAGGGTTTGGAGAGAGGCCAAAAACTGGCAAGACAAATCTGCAAAATGTGGTTTAGCTAAAAAAAATAAAACGTTAGTTAAAATCATGAATTGCGACGTAAACAACACTTTAGCTGGAAATGAAGAGGCATACCCTCATCACGTGATGCATTCGGAGAACGTAGGGGAGATCACGTGACAGCTACAGAAGCCTGATTCATTTCCACGAATCGGTTCTTTCGAATGGTTCGATTCAAGAACCGGTTCAAACAACTGATTCAGTGATTATTTTATCTCGGCACGTAATTACATTTTAACATGGTCCCTGACATCCTTGCGTGGCAGATTACCTGTTCTAAACGAACATACATGAACATCTTGCTGTTTATTGTGTTTTTCTATTACATTTTTGAACTAATGGTATTTCATGTTTCCCTTTTAGTTCTTGCAGCCAAGCTTGGGGTCATTAAGTCCTATATAATCTAAATATAATTTGTATTTACATTACGGAAAATTCATCATTGATATTAATACTCTGATTTCTATGGGCTGATGAAACTCAAATCATAAACATATTTCCAGTAGATTCTGCTTGTAACATTTCTGCATTTTGGCTCGTTATGAGTCATCGCAGAGACTGTTCTCGGTTCCAAAACGGTCTGGCTGCGGACTTGCGCTTGCACTCTCAGACACTAGCACTCTCAGACACTTGCACTCTCAACTGTTCTAAGAATGAACTTACCTCCTTCATGGTGTTGTATTTTGTTGGCTGTGTCTCTGTACATCTGTAAGCTTTCATTCTTGTCTGTTTGGTGTTCCTGTGGAATTGAAATAAGTTGACAGCCACGTTCTCATGAGCATTGTCATCTGTTGCCGCTAATCTGTGTGTGTGTATGTTGTGTTGTAGTGAGGACCGGGTCATTGAGCACTATAAGAAGCTAAATGGACAGTCCAGAGGCCAGGCTATCGTCAAGTAAGTAAAGAATATTGTCATGACCAAAACATTCTTCTAAGTTAGATGAACAGAAAGAATGCGCAAAGTCTCCTGTTAAAGGGGTCATCTGATGCTTTTTTTAAAGATCATTATTTGGTGTAACAGAATTAACAGAATATGTTGACATGAAAAGGGAAACAGACTTGAGTCGCGTGACAGATACCGTGATGAAGCTGGTTTGTGTGCAGTACACAAGCCACGGTTAAGACAGCTGCCTCCACTGTGATCTCTCTCTCTTACGCACGCACGCGCGCACACACACACACACACACACACACGATGCGCAAAACTCAGAACTAATAACAAAACAGTAGATGATTCAGAAGCGCCAGATTGTCATCGCAAA